TGTTGCTAAAGGTGCCCGTGTGATAGATATGTAAGTTTGAATATTCTGAAGGTGTGACTGATATGCAGACAGATGTAAGATAAGAGGGAGGTCCTGCTTGAGAGAGTAGAGAAAGGTCTTGAGTTGGGGGAGATGGTGAGACAATCTAAGAGATATTCAAAATATTGACCATGTTTGGGGCAAACTTAAATAGTAACTTTAAATGTTAACACATTAATCTTTCCCTTAAGTGTTAAACCCCTTAGGGTAAGAGGAATGATAATAGAAGGAAGGCAGGACTGACAGATGGAAGACAGGCATTAATGTTCTAACTCTTCTCCTCTTCTTCTTGCTCCTCTACAATTACAAACCTAATAATGTTTACATTTTTAGTGCTTTATATATTTAACAAGACATTTGCCTTACAAACTGGTATGTGTTGGTAAATGCTTAATGATCATCATTTCAGGAAAAAAAACGTAGACTTGACACACTTTTAAGTTTAATTTGTATCATAAATATTTTCTCCATCACTTTCTTAAGTGTAGACATTCAGCAAAACAATAAATCAAGCTCTGACTTGTAGCATCTTCCAATTTCCAAGGTTGTAAATGCTCACATTGAAAATTTAATAATTGGCTCTCATGAGCTGGTTCAAGGTGGTTTAAGCTGGCTCCAGCACAGTCCTGTACAAACCTATGATACAGATAGAGCATATAGTACCATCACTTTACAGAATAGGAAATAAGATTTAGTGAAATTAAACAATTTGCCCAAGATCATTAGCCAGGACTCAGATCTAGGTCTTCTGATTCTTGGTCTGGAGATCATCACAGCAGTGCCATCATGTGACTTTAAACAAGATGCTCAACCTCTCTGGGTGAGACCTCATTTTATCGTCTGTAAAATTAGGTGATTGGACTAGATGATCTTTAAGGTCCCTTTTTACCTCTAAGTTTCTGTGATTCTGTAATGGTAGAATTCAATGAGACAAGTAGGTTCCCTCTTGGGAAGTGTAGGGGAGGTTGAGCCAGAAAGATAGTAATGGCCCTGCCTCATCTCTTCATTGAGGAGGTAGACTGTTGAGTGAACCTACTTCTTCCTCCTAGTTGTCCAAGTAAGGAAGAGAACAGGCTTAGCAGTCAGTCCCAAGAGACATAGTGTCACCGCACCTGTCAAAAGGCAGAAAATCTCCCAACTGCTTCATTTTTGTCAGCATTCATTTAGAGAATGGCTCCACCAGCGAATACCTGGTATGACATTTTGACCTTATCAATCAAACAATATTCATTGTCCAATTTGGTAGGAAGTGGGGGTGGGGGTAGAGGGGAAGAATGAAAGAGAAGCCTAAGACCAGGTCTTTGCCCTCAAAGGAGATAATATTACAGTCTGGATGAAAAATTAAACCTATCATACGTGAAATAATAAAGGATCAGATGTGTTAATTATGTGGTTCTGACTCTAAGTGTCATTGGAGATCACAGAATGCTGGAGTCATTAGAGAAGGCTTTGTCAAAGTGGTATATGAATGAGCTGCTCCTTGAAGCATAAGTAAGAAGCATTCTGGGTAGAGGGTAGGGAAAGGTGAAAAAGCAAAACACAATGAAAAAAATCACTGTGGTTGGAACAAAAAAACTACCTTTTCAGAAGCAGTGAGAAAAAGGTGGTGTAGTTATGGAAGGGTTTGACAGTGAGAAAGAGAACTCATTAATTGCAATGACCAGTTGTGGGTCCTGGAGAGCAGGTGAAGAAACATACTTCCCTCCTCTTCCTGGAAAGGTAGGGGTTAGGAGGGGAGGTGGAGAAAGTTGTACACGTGTGGTCAATTTGTTGGTTGGTTCTACTTAAGTATTTTTCTTTGTTACTGTAGAATGATCATTGAGAGGAGAGGGAGACTTATTAGGAAATGATTGAAGTAAAAATCAAAAAGCATCAAGAAAATTTTTAAACGAAAAGAGTTTAGAGATCAATTTCACAAGCAACTGAGCTTAATTTACAGCGTAAATTTCCATGGTAATAAGAATCTGTTTTCTCAGTTCTTCTCAAGCAGCAAAGACCAAAATGTTCTTTCTCACTCTTCAAATTTCATAGAAAATTAACCAGGCCCCACTCATTTGGGTCATAGTGTCTATGGACTACAAGGAATTTCAATGACACATTTACATTATTACTCATTTGTATAGTCACAGCCCTAACAGCCTGGGGGGCCTCCATAGGAGGTTAGACCACTTAAGGTGTTTGTCATGAATGAATTTGAAGCTCTGGGCTAGTGCACACAGTTATCATCCACCCTTCTCAAAGAGCAATTAGTTACCTTTCAAAGCATTTTCCACAAATGTTAGTAAGAGTCCTTGCAAAGGGGCAAAATTTGGGGTCCTAACAGATAATAGAAATAGAAAAAAAAAGTAAAAAAGAAAGAAATGAATGAATGAATGAAAGAAAGAAAGAAAGAAAGAAAGAAAGAAAGAAAGAAAGAAAGAA